CTCCCACTCCCAGAGGGCCATGCCACCCGGGGTCCTGTTTGGCCTGCTAGCTGTGGCCAGCGTTGGCTCTTTGAGGTCAGGTATCCTGCACTGGGTGCCGAAGGCCTGGGCAGACGGTCCCGAGGACCATCCCGGCACCTGGGCTGCCCCTTGGTCGGGACACAGGCCTCAGAAGGCCCGACCCGGACCAGCGGCAGTGCCAGTCCCCTGAACAGCAGAGGTGGACAAGAACCCGGCCCTGGGAGCACACTGAGGGCACACCCGCCCCCTCTGGCCACATCTCCCCACTGCACTGCGAGAGCACCCAGCCAGGCACGGGGGGCCCGCCTACCCCGGCCCCCCGCGCGGCTCGTACGTAGATGATGTGCTGGCTGGAGTTCTGGTCATCGTTCCAGATGAAGAGGTCAATGAGCACACGCTTGTTGAACTGCGCGTTCATCACGGCCAGCTGCTGCTCCAGCTCCCACCTGGGGCCTAGGGGGGTCAGCGCCCTGTGCTGGGGACCCGCCGGGCCCCTTGGGTCCCAGCCCAGCCCTTCGCTGGCTGGTGAAGCCTGGCCCAAGCCCAGAACTTGAGGGCACAGGGGACCCCTGCCCGGCTCATGGCAGCGGGTGCACTGGAGGGCCTCGGGGTCATGCTTCCCCAGATAGTCCACAGGGAGCCCCCCTGTGTGCTGGGGTTGCTGACCACTTGGTGACCCTGCCCCCCAGTGCAGAGAGCAGAGCATGTGCTGAGAGCTGGGAGCCTGGGTCCCTCTCTAGTGCTCTGGAAGGGATGCCTCTCTGCAGAGCTGGAGAGGACCAGCCCCACGGAGCCCACCAGCCGCGGGGGCAAACTCCTCGGCTCGGGCCTGGAAGGCCTCAGCTCCGAGGAGCCCCAGGCCCAGGGCCGCCCATCTGCGCGAGGCGCCCCCTGCCCTGGCCTCACCTATGCTCTCGTTCCACTTGTCCATGGCCACCGGCCAGCCTCCCACCGCCTCTAAGATGTCCAGCAGGGGCTGCGAGTCTCGCTTCTCTATCACACCTGGGAAGGGGGAAGCGGTCCCTCAACCAGGGGCCTGGTGGGTGTGACACCCGCCTTCATGCACACCTCGGGGTGCTGCCTGCTCAGCACACAGCCCCGCCCTCCCGTCACACCCTGTGGTGCAGGACTTGGAGAGGCCTGGAAAGAGCAGGGACGGGACACAGGCAGGAAAGGGGACAGGGAGTGGATGAAAGCACAAGGGCCACCAGGACAGAGGGTGCGGGAGGCAAGGCAGGCGGGCGGGCGGGTGGTGGGTGAGGAGCCAGCCTGGGGGGCCTGTGGCCAGGAGCAGGCGCGGCTCAGAGTGGCTCAGAGAGGCCCGGGCAGAGTATTGTGTGCTCTGCAGGGGTGAGGGACCAACCCGGCTGGGAAGCCCTCAAGACCACCAGCTCCAGCACACGCTGCACAGAGAACAAAACGTAACTTTCCCTGCGTGATGTTGATCTGGCAGGAAGTCTGGGAGAACTTCAGTCAAGAACCAAGTGAAGTGGGGAAGAAAGGTGGCCCACAGAGGGGCAGAGGTGGGGGAGGGCCTGGCCTGGCCACTTGATCTGGGGAGACTCGATGAGACGGGCCGTGGGCCTGGGTGAGCTCCGAGGCTCACTAGAAGTGGGGTGTCCCATGTGGCCGGTGGGGAAGCAATGAACTTTCTTTTTTTGGTCCTGAGTCGGAAGCAGGGACTGAACTCAGGGAGCCGCCAGTGATGGGTCAAGTCCCGGCCGTCTTGGACTGATGGTTACAGGAGTTACTGTTCGGCTTCCCGGCTGGTTCCTGAAGGTGACGGAGGGGCCTTCTGGCTGCAGACTGTGGCTGAGTTGTGTTTCTATACATGGTCTGGCCACCATCTTTTTGTACCTTCAGTTTCTCAGGCCAGACCTTCCCGAAAGGTGGGAACACAGGACATCACCTTCACCTGGCAGGTACTGGCCAGACTGGATGAAGTGACCCTCTCCTCCCACGGGGAGAAGTGCACAAGCCGGGGGCCCCACGGAGACACCCCTGAGAACGCTGCAGTCCCTACCGTTGGGTGCCCGGAAAGAAACCTCGCCCTCCAGGAGACCCTCAAGGAAACAGCCTCGAATCCCGGTGCCAAGGAGAGGGAAGCAGTCCCCCCAGAGCAGCCGAAACTGCAGGCTGGGTTTGCAAGTCCTCAAGCAGGAGCTTAAGGGGAGGTAGGCTGGAGGTACCCCAAGTGTGTGAATCCTCTTAATAGGAACCAAAGCACCGAGAAGCCCTCAAAGCCCCCACAGCACACACAGACACACAGACAGACACACACAGACGGGTGCACACACATAAGACACATACAAACACACACACGCAGACATATATACACATCAACAGGCCTACACACACACACACACACACACACACACTGACGCCGGCAAAGATTCTTGACCAGACGTCAGTTCGGGCCGGGCCCTGTCAGGGCACGCCCTGGTAAATCGCAGTTTTAGCAAGAACTCTGTGCGGTCATTTGAACCGGAACTCCCCGCTGCGAGTCTGACCCCTCTGGAGAGCTGATCAGGGTCCTTGGCCCTCTGTCCCCCTGGTGACTTCTGACCGCCCATCTGCCTTCAGCACGCCCCCATTAGCTTCGTTTAACCAGATCCGCACCCCACCCCGCTGCGGATGTCTCCTTTCAGTGATTTTCCGTTGTGCGAGCGCCACCTGCTCCGGGGCCACGCCTCCCCACCTGCCCACACTGCATCTGGAGTGGAGCCACATCCCCTGCCCCTCTTGCAAAACCCCACTGCAGTGGTCCCGCACCTATTGAGATGGTCCTGAACAGTCTGCCTTACTGTCTTTCACACGTGTCATGAACAGAGGCATTTTAACACACGCGCGCGCGCACACGTGTGCACACACACATGCAGACGCATGCACACGTGCACGCACACACATGCACATACACAGATGCACATTCCCCGAGGCTCCCAGCAGGCCCCCCACTGTCTTCCTCCTGCCTGAATACAGTGCGGCCTGCTGGCGTCAGGGTGTGAGCTGGTCACGGGCAGCTGGCAGTAAGTCTGTGCCCCAGAGGGGCCCTGGAGCCAGCGGCCAGGTCAGGGCAGCACACAGCCCCCTGGTGTCAGTTTGGAGTGGCGGCCACTCCGCCCTGCTCTGCAGCAGGGCCGTGGGGTCCTGGGGCTGGTGGCAGCCCCCCTCCACAACTCACTCTCGTTCACGCAGGAGCGGTACAGCGTCTTGGCCTTCTGCACGGCTGGCCGGTCCTCGGAGGCGGGATTCTCCAGCACCCCTGCGGGCGAGGAGAAAGCTGGACACCGGCCTGAAGTGGCTCCTGCAGGGCCCCTGCCCCTGCCACACTGAGTCAGAGGCAGTCCCTCTGGCCCTGCGGGGCCTTTATCCCAAGGGGTCCCTCTCCCCTATGCCCGCTGGACCGGGGAGGGCTCGGCGGGCTGTGCCCCCTCCCCACCGTGGCCAGGCGCACAGTCGTCCCCCCGCCCCGCCCCGAGAGTTGAGCAGGTGCACCGCGCACCAGCCGCCCCCGTGGGCGCGGCTGCTGCCACCTTTGAGGATGATCTCCAGCTCGTCTCGGAGGATGTCAAGATGCTGTATCGTGAGTTGGTCTCGGGGATCACGTGGCGCTGCAGCCAGCCTCCACACGCGTACTGGTAGAAGTCGTTGCACGGTTCCTTGGATGGGTCCATGTTCTGGAGGATTCTGGCAGCTGCGTGTCCCGGAGCGGGGAGAGGGGAGACCCCGATGGGCTGCGGGGTGTTCAGTCACAGCCCTGTGCCCCTGGGAGTCAGTCACCCCCTGACCCCGGGGAGGTCGTAAGCAGGGATTTCAGTCCCAGGGGGATCACTTAGCCACGCGACCTTGGACCCGTGAGCTCGCTGATCCTCCATTTCCACACCCGCAAATCCCAGCCAAGACTGCCCCGTGCACAGGAAGGCTCAGCTGCTGGCCCTGCCCCTCGTGCCCCCTCCTGGTCACCGTGTCTGCAGGGTCTGCTTTCTGTTGGAGGGGAAGGCTTTGTCCCCAGGCGTGCAGGGACAGTGGGGCCCCGAGGCTCCCGGCAGAATGCTTTCAGTAGAGGTGGCCAGGATGGACACCCCACCCCAGACCCTCCCTCGCGTCCTGTTCCACTTGGCTGGGATCTCGCTGGAGCGCACTTCTGAGTTTTCACACTAGCGTCTCTTTGCATCATTTTCACGGTCTTTTATCTGCCAATAAGGGCACACGGTGCCCAGTTCTAAGACAAATTCCTGGGAGAAAGCTTGAGAGTGTGTATGTTTGTGTGACCTTCTTCCTGTAAATGCAGAAAAGGGCCTCGGGGTCCCACGCCAGCTTCGCTGTGGTCACAGGGGCCTCAGCGGGCAGTGGGAGACTTCCTGGGGGGCCTGGGGGTGGGGGTGAGAAATGGGAGCAGACCCCTTTCCTCCACCTGCCCCAGAGCCCCTACCTGCACACACGCCCGGGGTCCGCTCACCAGCCCCAGGGCCTGGTCTGGGGGCAGCTCCCCTTGCCAGTGCCTGTGCCAGCAGCATGGGGGACCCCAGCCCCGGTCGGGGTGTGGAGGGCTGAGAGGGGAGCGGGCCTTACCTGCCATCACGCAGCCAGGGGTGGTGCAGACTTCAGCCACCTCCTTGCGGGTTTGGATGTCTGCAGGCAAGGAGCAGCGTGAGCATGTGAGAGGTGGGTCAGGGCGCAGGTGGGGTGGGGAGGAATGGGGGTGGGTAGGGTTGCGCCTCAACGCCACCCCCACCCCCGTGGTCGGTCCAGCCCAGGGTCATGAGGGCACCTGGAGGGCAGCCCGCATGCTCCCCGGGTGGCCTGTGCCTGGGGCCTTGAGTGAAAGCTCATTCTGGCTTGACCTCGGCAGTGACCTGGGAGCCCCTTTATACTCTCTCCCTCCACCGACCTCCACAGCTGCCCAGGCCCCGGAGGGCTGAAGCCAGCCATTCTGCCCTCCTGCCTGTCTGCTCAGCCAGCTCTCACCCTGTCAGAGGTCACCTCCTCCAGGCAGCCTGCCTGTGCTGCCCTGCCTTTGCACGCCCTCACTCTCTCCCAGCCACCCAACCCCGTCGCCAGCTGGTTGTATCAATATGTACCTGCCGGCCCTCAGGAGCAGCGCCCAAGATCCAGGAGCAGCGTGACTCCTACTGGCTCCCAGGTGCCCAGGAGGCAGCCTGCGTCCAGCACCCCTGCCTCTGTCCTCTCTTCCCATGGACTCTGTGGCCCCACCCTCCTGCTGCACACCCCGGGCCTGACTGCCAGCTCCCCGGCCCTCCACTGGTGGCCCAGCCCACGGGGGTGCAGTTCCCTAGCCCGCCGCTCAGGCGTGTTGGTAGGGAAGGCAGGGCTACCTCTGGATGCTCGTTTTATAATGGTCTTCTTTTCCTTTGAGAAGCAAAGCCGGCTAGTAAAGAGTGGCAGCTGCTTCCCTGGGGAGAAACACAGCACTCAGCTCTCCGACTCCAGCCACCTGTTCCTGGGACAGCACTGCAATAGGGGGTCTGGGGTGCTCCGGGGGGTCCCTGCATGGGGTTGTCACCTAGTGAGGGCTGGGCACCAGGGAGTCAGGACGTGGGTAGCCCAGTAGAGCTCAAATCTGAGCAGAGGGGGAGGAGGGCTGGTGGGGAGGAGGGGGGCGTTGGGGAGGGAGGGGGTGGCGGGGGAGGGGGGCGTGGTGGGGGAGGTGGGGGCCGTGGGGGTGGGGCGGTGGGGGAGGAGGGCTGGTGGGGGAGGAG